CCCAAATTTGCTGTCGAGCGAGGGGCGGGGAGGTCGTCAAAGTTTAACTATCATTTTCAATTACCGGAAATAGTAGTTGTATAGATATTTGGCAGTCCCTCTCTCAACAACGGCCGAAGACGACCCCCCCCCTCCTTTATCCCGTTCGTGAAACAAGAGAAATCAACTATAAAAAACTTCTTCTCAGACCAAATACGACCCCTACCCTCCCTCGCGGTCAAATACGAGCCCCCCCCCCCGTTGTGATCATCACAACGATGGCGTGCCCTGGTCTCGAAGCTGTGCTGTCGTCAGTACCAAAGAACAACAACCACCCATCGCGACTCAACCTATGGAATGCTACATGGCTGAATTAGAATGTCACTGTCTGGCAAATCGGCTTAATATTAATAATCTTATCAAACTGCGCGTGACTTCAGGACATTAAATTGGGCGAAATCAGCTGCAACCCCTGCTATCTTCCGTAGTCTTGGGTGAAAGGTTCACCGTGGTACATGAGTGATGTGATGTTGACTTGTAGATAGAAAATTATTTTGGAAAGCGATAGAGAAAGGAAGGGGGTGCTTTTTTTTCATGAGGAATGCTTGGCTAGGAAAAGGTTGCGGATAAAGCTCTTTAGTGGGGTGTATATCGTCTTACGCAATCTCTTTGCCATTGGTGTGCGACAAGGCGCCATTCGAAGCAGTTTCGAGGCAGGGCAACTCGTCCAACTCAATAAACTACTGTACCTTCTTAATTATTATATATCACCTAATTATTATATATCACCTAATATCACCTCCCGAAAGTCATCGCAGGCATTTGGTCATGGGCAAAAGTATTTACGTTAAACGGGATCCAAACCCTCGAACGAGTACGCTATCCGTCGCTCCATCGAGGGTAGCATCAATGTGAGAGGGCAAGAGACACCTTTGGTGACATAGCGAATAGTGCACTCACTCCAAAAAGCCCGAGACGCAGGTTCGAATTCGCTTGAGCTTCGAATTTTGCTAACAACTCGACGTTCTTGTGATAATTTTGCTCCTCCGAAACATGGGAAGGATAGGATGGATCAGATCTTGTGGGATGCAGCACGCATTCTACTTCCATTCAGTGGTGGCTCTATTGAATGCGATGTGGCCTATACAGTGACTTACGGGGGCCAATCGACGTACAAGTCAGTGTTCTTATCCTCCCAGACAAAACTGGTACCAATTTACGTCCCGAAGGGTAGAAGGCTTTGTTGGCCCTGCGCGATGTCGACCCGCCCGGATTCCGAACCCGGACTGCGCGAGTGGTAACTGCGTCACTTGTTGATACACACCTCCGCCTAAGGCAATAATGTTATCTTATAATATTCTTAATTTTGAAATTTATGTCTCGTAGAAAGTTCAACAAAATGAAAAAAAAACAAGCGTTAAATGGCATTTTTAGACATTCCTGGATCGTTGCCAAGTGAAAAGCCTTCGCCTGACGATGATGCGTGGACCATACATTCCACCACAGCCGGATTATATGGTTGGCAAAGTAAGTGATCAAATAGCTCCTTTCAGTGATTATCGATCGATTTTATTGATTACTCTAGGTCCGTCAAATCGATCACATCGAACTGGGTGAGGTAGTCGACAAGCCAAACATCTTCAATTCATTGGTCACCTACGAGAATGTCTTCAAAAAGGTGTTCCCCAACGTGCAGGACATTCACTATTTCCAGCATTGGTAATTTGATACTCCCAGGGGTATTCCCATACTGTACATATAGTTCCCGTTTTGATTCCCGGGCTTTTATTCCATGACTGATGTCTTCCAAGCGGGCGCTAGAGCTTTTGGACTACAGGCAGAAGGCTGTCTGTTACTTGTATTTATTTGTAAATATTTTTCGGTGTTCCGGTGTTGAGCTTTTCACTGACTCCCCCACATGTCCCGTGTGTTCTTGCAATGACAATGACGATGACCATGTCTACAACTTTATTTATACTTCTCATATATCAAATATTTTGTGACTGTCTGCAGATCTTATTGATCTCAATTGTATATGCCATGAAACACTTGTTAAATTCACGTTTGTACATAGACGATTTCCCCTTCTCACTAGGTCTTTTCTCTCAATGGTGTTGTCTGTTCTCCTCAGGCTTTCGTTTTGTTAAAGCTACGGTTAGAAATTCGGTTCCCATTGGTGCACATTGTACATAAATCCCGGCGCTAATAATACTTGGGGGGGGGCACACCTGTGAGCGCTTGTTGGAAGCCAAATCCTGTTTAAAGTAGACATGTGAACACCGGTTAACCTTTTCAGCACACTGCCGGTCTTGTTCTCACCTCTGGAGCGCCCTGTAGACTCCTGTGAAACTTGTCGGGATGGTAAAACTTGACAACTGCCCCAAAATATCCGATATATACGCTACATGCAAGGCGGAGAAGACAATGGTGATATGCGCGTCGTCACGCGCAGCGTATCGTGCTGTCATGACACCCATATCATACATGCAGTACAACTCGTCCGTCGGGCTTGGCGTCGCTCGCCACGCCCACCAGCGTGGCGCATTACGATTATCTTGTCACATCGCGTTAGCAGGGTTTCACAGGAGTTGACAGGGTACTTGACAGGATCTGCCAGGATTTGCAGGGTGATACACGATTGCCCGGCATTCACTTGTACATGATCTAGCAAAGCTCGTATGGCAAGCGCTTGCAGGGATGCCCCCCAAGGTTATTAGCGCCTGCATTTGTTCTCAGAAAACCACGGCCGGGTTCAGAGGCCAAAAGATGGCGCCATGCTAAAAGGCCGAGCCTGGAAAGGTATGAGGTTTGACGAGTTGTTCTTCGATATCTCAAAAGAAATCAGGATGCTTTCATTTTCCAAACATGACCTTTTTACATATTGTGCTGGCAGAACTTTGATCAGATCCTACAGTAATCATGCGCCAAAATATGCAAAAACTGTTCGCGTATCTCTAAAATAATCTGGACTGTCAGGAGAACTTCCCGGTCGAATTAATTATTGTGGAAAGCGTTGCGTTATCGAGAACTCTGAACCCGACCTGGGGCCATGTGGAATTTGCGATTGCGATTCGGTGATAATGGTGGGTACACTTGCCCCCAGAAAAGAAAAGTCCCACGCGACGAGTTAAACCTCGACAGGCTCCACTGTAGCCCATTAACATCAGAATCAGAGGTTCTGCACTAAATCCGGCTCATGTCTCTGCTGAATATGCCCATGTCTGACGGACGCCGGACCCCTTCCCTTCCGCTCCCATTTGTTTTTCTTTGAATAATTTGAGGAATGTGAAGGACCGGTTTGACTTGTCCCGCCCCACCCCTTCTGAGATCAAATCCTAAAAAATCAGTCGTTTAAAGCTTTTCTGACAACTCCAAGCTTTATATTTTGTTTCTGTATCTACTATGAGTGGTATGCCGTGTGCTTCTCTTATGGTGACTTTCGAATGTGTGCTACAACTGTTGAAATAGTAAAAGGCTTTATTTCGGTAAATCTCTTCTATCTATCACAGAATCACAATAAAACACACATCTGTACACCGTGAGATCGTTAGATATTCGCAGTAAGGTTAAGGTCAAGATTGGGATCGAAGAATGAACGGTCACCGCGGTGTTTAATACCCGTGGGGTTTCAATGGCTCATCAAGAATGGGCTTAGGCATCGGCTTCGGAACAACTGGCTCAACATGAAGAGGGAGTGGAGGCGGATGGTGTATGGGCTTCTCCACCTCCTTCGGTTTCGGAATCACAATGTCTTCAAGCGCAGGAATTGGTACTGGCGCCGGCGGAGGTGCGTAGCCGACTGGAACATCTTGGGGTGGCTGAACAACCACTGGAGCTTTCGTCGTTGTGGGGAACGTCGCAGTTGCCCAATACTTCTCAGCGGCTTCATGGTTTAGCACGTACCTAAACAAGCACCACTATCAATGCCTCTTGAGAGTAAAGTAGTGAAAGGGTTACGAACTTGATAGTTGTCGGTGGTGGTGGTGGAGGAGCAGTTGTCACAGGTACGTCTTGGACCTGAAACATTCTGATTAAACAAGGTCAGAGTATCAAGCGAAGGAAGGAAACTCACCACTGGTGCTGCAGGTGGAACGTATTCCGGCGTGACTGGTACTGGTGGAAGGGTGGTGACCTTCACTTCAACTGGAGGGGCGTAAGGATTCACTGGAACGTCTTCGGCTGGAGCAGCAGTAGTCTCTACCGGTGGCAGAGTGGTGGGTTCTTCGACAGGTGGCACAAACGGAGCCTCAGTGGGGACCTCTGCTGGTGGAGCATATACTGGGAGGGCTGTCGGCTCAACTGGTGGAAGAGTGGGCTCCTCGGTTGGTGGCACAGTAGGAGCCTCAGTGGGTAGCTCCACAGGTGGAGCGTAGACGG